AGGAAGCAGTGGGTGTCGGCACCCACCACAGCCTTGGCAACCAGAGAAGTCCATTCATTTCCTGGCTGAGAATCCCCAGTCATGTAAACAAAGGGACAGGGATGGTATGGATATCAATGGCCAAGAATAGCCATGTCCATGCTTGGTCAATGATCTTACTCGGGAGACCCCACCACTTTTTTTTACACTTAGCTGCAGGAAATGGAAATTGTCATTCGGTGGCAAGAGAGCAGTGGAAGTGGATCATGTCTGCAGTCAATGAGATTTATTCCTTTTGGCGCATTGGCAGATGTCATTCATCATGATTGATGTGAATCTGCATTGCTGGGCAATGTGATTGACAATGGACTTGCTGTACGTCAGGGTACTTCTTCTTTTTTTGTTTGTTTTATATTTAAATATAAATTGTACTTAATTTAATTTTAATAAAGGACTGTGTTTACTGTAGTTACTTTTACTGTTTTGTGTCAATAAATAAGGGTAACCCTTACTCATTAACATGGGACAGTATTATTGTTAAAATGGAATTCCAGATTCCAATAAGCCCCCTGCCTGAAGCCCCCCCCCTTCCCTCAAACCACTTGAACCTCCTAGCAAGGCCCCTGATGAGGTAATGTGGCCTGGTATGGTTCAGCAGGGAGTGTGCATGCTCATATTCCACTTTCCTGACCTGCCAGGCTGCATGCCTGAATAAGAATCTTGTTTGAAATTTTTTGGGGACCCACCCTTTTTTTTTTCTTATTTTGCTTTTTTGCATTGGGTTAACCCTCAAAATCTATACCAGATCCAAAAGGTCTGGAATAAATATTGGAGGACCACATATTTATTTTTGGGGCCACCCTTGACATCCATTCAGACCCTCGTCAAGAATAAGGGTATGGTACTGTATGTATTTTTAGGAGGAACAACAATCTTTCAAACTTTTTTTTTGTGTATAGGGTGCCCATTAACACCTATACCAAACCTTCAGAGTGCAGTGGGCAAGAGCTGTCATTACAGTGCATTTTAAATGGATTTTTAAATGTCAGTTTTGCTGTAGTATGTTGTGAACATTGTACAGATGCGCCACTTCACAGTCAGGTTATAGGGGAATCCTCCAGACATGTTTCATTAGCTTTATTAACCACTTGCCCTTCGTAAAGTTTACTCCCCTTCCTGACTAGGCCATTTTTTTGCTATTCACTACTGCGCTATTTCAACTGGTAATTGCGCAGTCATGCGACGCTGTACCCAAATGAAATGTATGTCCTTTTTTAATATAAATAGAGCTTTCTTTTTGTGGTATTTGATCACTACTGGGTTTTTAATTTCTAGTGATATGATTGAAAAAATACCAAACATTTTGAAAAAAAAAAGATATTTTCTACTTTCAGTTGCAAAAAATATCCAATAAACTTAAAGTTAGTCATAAATTTAGGCCAAAACGTATTCTACTACATGTCTGTGCTAACAAAATCCCAAGACATGCATATTAATTGGTTTGTGTGAATGTTATAGTGTCTAAAACTATGGTATATATACTGGAATTCATGCAGCTTTTACTTTCACTGACTTCCTATCACATTTCTTGAGGTGCTAAAATGCCAGGGCAGCACAAAGACCTCCCTAATAACACCTTTTTTTGTCCAAAATACACTTTTTGGAATCTAAATGCACAAAAAACAATATATTGGCCAATTGTTTGATAAAGTATAAAAGATGATGTTACACCAAATAAATAGATACCAAACATGACATGCTTTAAAACTGCACATGCCCGTGCAACGGCAACAAAACTACATACATTTTTAATATTGATAGGCGATGCTTTAAAAGCCTTTACAGCTCACCACTTTTTATATACACAGGAGGTCTAGTGCTATAATTACAGCCCTTGATCTGACATTCGCAGTGATACCTTACATGAATGGTGCAAGCTCTGTTTACATACCAAACACGGGATCAAGGCTTTTTTTTTTTTAATTTTTAATTTTGATTTTTTTTTTTTTACACTCTCCCTTTCTTTTTTTTTATTTTGTTCACTTTTATTGTTATCACAGGGAATGTAAAAATCCCATGTGAAAGCAATAGGCAATGACAGGTATTCTATTCTGAGAAATCTGGGGTCTAATAGACTCTAGATCTCTCCTTTGCACTTAAAGTATCTGATCACACCAAGATCAGTGTGATCAGATGCTTTCCCAATTTAAAAATGTCTCTGTTAGTATCTGGCTAAACAGAAATAATGAAATGCTCTAGCTTCCGGTTTCTTACACTATAGAGATGATTGGAGCCATTCTGGCCTCCAATCAGCTCTATGTTCATCCAGCATTGCTGGCTGCATTCTTGGATTCCCCTGTGGGAAGGGAGAGCCCAAGAAAGCCGTGGAAGGTGACGGGAAGGGGGCATTCCTTCCCATGGTTGAAAAAACAATCCAGCAGATAATTAGCCACTAGGATTGCTCTTAAATGAAAGTAGATCACCAGCTACAAAAATTATACCGGGATGATGCCTGTAGCTGCTGGCATCATCCTGCTTATAGACCATGACGTTATCTGATGTCGCTAGTGGCAGTCATGCAATGATCAGTGAAAAATTCTATATACTGACACTGTTCTAATGGCACTGGCTGGGGGACAGCATGATCAAAGGGTTAATAAGGGCCATAAAAGGGTTAAATCTGCTATTTAACATATGCGTGTAAAATGTAGTGCTTTTACTCAGTGTGGTGTTCTCTCTTCTCTCCCTGCAACAACGGGGGGGGGGGGGGGGGGGGAGCAGGGGGCGCAGGAGCATTCACAATCCAAAATAGAAAGTGACGTAAGGTTATGTCGCTTTGCCCAGAGCCATTACTCTGCAATGCAAAGCTTGCTTTGAATTGTCATGAATGATTTTATTCATGAAATACAGTTCAATATAATAGTGATCTGTGATTGGCTAGAGCTAGTCACATGGTACAGGGTGCTGTGATATGCCAGTGCCATGTTGTCATGTGAGAGCTGTGAGCCAATCACAGCTCTGTGACCAATCACAGCTCACTAGAAGAGAAGCAGAGCTGTTATGAATCAGATTGATTCATAACAACTTTGCTAACATTGTGATCATGTGATCGCATAGTGATCACATGGTCCCATTCACCAGGATCTTCATTCCACTGTGTCCCAGCAGGTTGGGAACAATGTGCGCCCGCTCAGGTGTGCAGCGCCCCCTGTGTTAGTATAGCCAAAGTGATGTACCCATATGTCGCTTAGCCTGTAGCTGTTGCCCATCCACAGTACATTACGGGCAGGAGGGTGGGCGGCAAGCGGTTAAAATCATTGCTCCCTGCCAAACAGGATATTTTGCTTTGGGACATGGTCCCCAGAGCAGTGTTCAGCCTTTTCCCATTAGCCTAGAAAATTGTCTTTTTTTTTTTTTACATTTGGTTTTCATTGGGTTCAATGGTGTTTAGATTCAGCACCCAGATTTTAGTAATGTTCACCAAACCTGCCTCGAACTGAACCCAGGTTTGTTTGGTTATACCTACTGTCAAATGCTCTTTGAGCTGAATGGGTACACAGACCCACTCTGAAATCTTGTGGAAAGCATTTGCAAAGTCCTAAGATTTTAGGATTGGATGCCCAACAAGCTCATATACTTTAGGTGTAATAGGCAGGGATCCACAAATAGTATATACTCAAAATGAATTGGACAAATCTGTCCCTTTCTGACAAATTGTTTGTCTTCAGTTTGGGTCAGGTGGGCTACTAGCACATGCAGGGCTTTTTTCTCAGAAAATAGGTGGTGGAATTCACCCTTTTTGAGTCACCTCTTGGCTTTGCCCCAACCCACCTCCAAGCACCGTCCCTTGGTTTCAACCCTGACCATCTCCCAGTACTGCCCCTTTTAGATAATATAGAACCAAGTATCATTTTGTGGTGCTATGTAATTTGTTTGGAAAGCAGTAAAATAGATCTACTACAGCCAGCAACAAAAGACCCCACAGTGACAATAGATCTCACCAGCAGCAATCAATCACCTGCAACAAAATACCCCCCAGCAACAATAGACCCCCGGCTGAAGCAAACGATCTCCCAGCAGCCAGCATTAGCAGATCCCCTGGCATTTAGCAAACATAGACCCCACCCTCAAAAGTACATCCCTCTCAGTAACAATTGGCCCCCCAGCAATATAAGACCCACCCACAGCACCAATAGATCCCCCACCAATAACAATAGACCTCCCCAGAATCAATACTCCTCCCAGAAAAAATAGAATAGATACCCCTCCAGCAACAATAGATCCCTCGGCAGCCACCATCAATAGACCCTCCAGTACACCCCAGCATTCCTTGACATTACATACATTGCATTCCCGCCACTCTCCCGCTGAAAAAAAGCCCTGAACACATGAAAACGAACTAATTAATCCCCCAAACCTGTGGTATGGTCATACAGATTGGCTACACCAGCTGCACAAATTTACCTTCTAATAGCTCATCTGCCACCATGTTTGACCACTGGGCGCAACCATAGAAGTTGTGAGCAATTACAGGGGTGAAGACTTCCTCCCCAGCCCCATGTGACAGCACTGGGTGTCTAAGCACCAGCACAACACTCTCAGGTTAGAGGGAGGACAATTCATTATATGATCTCTATTCCCAGAAGAGTTTTTTTTTTTTTTTTTTCCTTAAGCATGGTGGGTAAACAGAACAAAGATGAAGGTGGGCATGTTTTTTTGTTGGGCTGCTAATGAATGAACCAGTTGCCAAAACCAGATTTGCATTAAAAGACAAACTCAATCACTGCTTTCCATTTTCAGAAGCATTCTATTGAGACATTCCATTTTAAGGGTGTGATAACAGTTAAAAAAAAGCAATTCTAGAAGACAAACAAAATGTTTAAACATGGGTGCAATTACATTTTCAGGGGTGTTCATTCATGGTGCAGTACAGGGCAGATAGTGGAGAAGGCAGAACACTGTTTTGCAATACTTATTTTGAAATATGTAAAATTACTTAAATAACTCACAAACACACTCACCGTGATAGCTGAGTACGAAGAACCCACTGGTTGTGAAGTCACTATGAAACTTTATAAGGACCTGGTTTGATGTGCTGTAAACAGATTCCAGAGCTGTGTTGCCGCTAAACTGCCCGATCTGGGGAGAACTCTGGTCTGGCCCATCCCTGAAACAAATGATAAAAATGTGTTACAAAAAATAATAATATACGTATTATAGATATATACAGTATGTTGTGTGCAGGTTTTCTTAGTGGAAGGCAAGCAGCAGTACGTGCCGACAGTCTGATTCCCCACTTATAGTAACCAAGTGCTTAATGTCTATTAAAAGGTTGAACTGAACCATGACTAGTGTAGAACAGATGTCCCTGATTCTAACTACTGGCTTCTAGGCCCCAGCCCCTTACTTATAAAATAAAGAAGACAACACAATGACTGGAGTGAAAATGGCCATCGCAGCCTTTTTTTTTTAAAATAATAATTCAACTTAAATTAACATAAAAAAATAAACATTCCTTAAAACAGAAACAGGTCACCTCTAAGCCTGTTGGTCTTTGAAGGCCCCAAAACTAGTTTCTATTATACTCTGCGGAACGTTTGCCCAGTGCCCTCCGGCTTGGAGACAACCCACTATTCGCGGTTCAACAATCTCCATGTTCCAGTTATACTGTCATTAACTGAATGCACCACAGGGACAAATACCACCGATGGGTCCCGAACCATTCTCTTAGCCTAAATTTTTACTGCTTGCAAAGACCAACAGCTGTCCAGCTGCCATGACATCCACCAACCCATGGAAACGAAAACAGGGAGGGTGGGAAGAAAGCTGTCTTCTGCGTCTGTAGAGCTCTAATGGATGCCAGGGTTAAACCACCCCTCCTTAACTGCTTTCCCGGCACCCTATTGCAGAAAAACTGCTACAAGGCGTCAGGGGTGTGCACAATCACGTATATATACATGATTTTGCATTTCTGGGTAGGGGGAGCGCGCGAGCCCTACCTGCGCCACTATTTGCAGCCTCGGCTGTCAGTCACCGGGTCCCAGCCACTGATTACATGCCTGCACCCGGAGATCACCGAGTATTACTGACAGGGGAGAGAACTGCATAGGTAGAGCCATACAAAAGCAGTGTGCTTACAGTTTTTAAAGCACACACACATCTTACTGTGAAACAGCACACAGTTAACCCTTTGATCGCCCCAGATGTTAACCCCTTTCTGCCCAGTGCCATTAGTACAGTGTCAGAATGCCCACCGCAGGCCCACTATAAGTTGCTGATCACCGTCATTACTAGTAAAAAAAAATCCAGTATCTATATCGCCATTTGTAAACGCTATAACTTTTACGTAAACCAATTAATTAACATGTATTGGGTTTTTATTTAGCAAAGACAAGTAGCAGAATACATTTTGACCTAAATTTATGACAAAATTTGTTCTTTTAAATTTTTTTACTGGACATATTTAATAGCAAAAAGTAAAAAATTTATTTTTTTTTTCTCAAAATTAACAGTCCTATTTTTATAGCACCAAAAATAACAAATGCACAGGTGATCAAATACCACCAAAAGAAAGTCCTATTTGTGGGGGGAAAAAAGGATGTAAATTTCATTTGGGTGCAGCGTTGCATGACAGCACAATTGCCAGTTAAAATAACGCCACGCTGTAACGCAAAAAATGGCCTGGTCAGGGAGAGGAGTAAATCCTCTGGAGGGCAAGGGGTTACGCCACCCAAGACCCCACCCAGCCACATGCAACCTCCCAATCTGGTAAGCTCTCTTCTTAAATAACACCACCTCCATTAACCCTTAACCGATTGTCTCCCCTCTTCACCCAGTCATGTCTGCCCTCCACTAATTTTATTTTATTTTTTTGCAGATGACAGTGCCTGTTTCTATCAGGAGTGACAGACAGTAATGATGTCATCATTACTTTTAGAAGGTAATATATGGATTTTCAAAGGCATTGAATGAACAGATTTTTTTTTATATATTTTGTATCCTGATATCCTTTGTAGCTACTAAGGAATATATTTTACCAGTTATGGACATTGGGCATGCTACACACGCACAAAAGAACTTGCTGGGTGAGTGTAGTACACTAAGCTCTTCCTCCTCCTCTCCCCAGCTCATGGCAATTTTGGGACTTGTCTATATACACAAAAGCAAAATGAAATGTGCACTTTTTCCATGACCGATTAGAAAAAATGCACACTTTTTTTTTTAAACTGCATTGAAAAGAAAATATTTTTTTTCAAGACAATATTGACAAGAGAAACACAATGGGATTTATTTATTAAAGCTAGTTCATTTAGAATCTCATGCACTTCTGCATAGAAACCAATCAGCTTCTAGGTTTTATTGCTAAAGCTTAAATGAATAATCTGAGGTTAGAAGCTGATCTTGCAGATTTTCTTGCAAATTTTTCACTCTCCAGTTTTAATAAATACAAAATTAGAATGCATGAAGGTAAAAAACCTTGAGCCTTTACAATCACTTTAAGTCTTGCTTCACATCTATGCATTAAAGTAACTCTCAGTAAAATGGGCATTCCACTGTGTATTACTGCAATGCATAGCAACGTAATTTACATCAATGTGCCATTGATTTGGAAAGTCACCCCAATGCTCAAGTACAGTAGTTAATGATGGACCAGCAGTGCACTACATGTTCGAAGGTCCGAAAAGATGGAGTGAAATCAGAACATACGTATACTAATTTGCATGACAGCTGGGAAATGTTTACTTTCAGAAGGAAACTTCATCAGTACACTTGTTATTCTAATACTTGGGTGGTCAAATAGCACCATTTCATCTCTGCTTTGCTTAAAGTTCTCACAAGAGACAATGACACTTTGCATCGGTGGTAAACTTACAGCTTGCCTGTTCTAAATACATGCAGATTGCATTAGGAGGCCACTTTTGAGCATTGTGCAGTTAAATTTAGATTCTCCTCTTCTGAATAAAGTATGTTTTCTTCAGATTATATACTTATCTGAACAGTTACATTTTAAGAGCGCTTTTAAAGATTTCAAGAGTCCATAAGTGGAAAATTGTACAAGCAAGGGAACTGCCTAAGGAAAGAATAACGGCAGAAGAATTTGTTTAGTTGAAGACTGAAAGTGATAGGTGGAATGTGGAGATGAAAGTTGAAAAAGAGTGAAAAGCTGACCATAAAGCAGTCTGTTTGATAAATTACATTTTTATCTATATTAAAGGTAAATACTAACATGAAGATGCTGCATATAAATTGACAACGCACCATTTGTTTTGTGAGAAAAGCTGCTCTGCCAGCTATTATATATATATTTATATATATTTCCCTGAATTTGTGAATAATAGGAGAGTGGTTCACTGTCTTTAAGAACATGTGTCGGGGAGGCTTTGGTTTCCTCCAGTGAACATAAAGTGTCCTACTTTATTCATGTTAGCATGCAATAGAATTGCCCTCTTTCAAAGGTCTAGGTAGTGGGACGTTCCAGTTTCACCCAGGGGGGTGCTTTGGTTTGCTTTATTGAAGAGTGCCATATTTAATGTATGCTTGCCTCCAATAGAGCTGCCCTCCAGCAAAAGTAAATTTGGTAGGAACTGCTATGTTCACTCAGGGGGTGCTTTGGTTTGTTCTAATGAAGAGTGTAACACTTCAGTTATGTTTGCCTCCAACAGAACTGTCCTCCACTAAAAATTCAGGTGACAGGACCTGCCAAACCTCAGTTATGTTAGTGTAGCACCCTTCTAGATAGGTTGCTGGGATGTTAGGTAAATTTAGCTCTTTTGGCTGTAATCTATAATCATTGGATCAGCTATTGATTGCTTTAGGCTGTTGTGAATTTTACAGGCTGCAGGTTTGATTCCCCACCTCCCATTTCTAGAACATAGTGGATTGGGAAGTCAAATCAGGAGCCTCAATATTTATTGTGCTTTGGCCAATCCCTTGGAAGGTATACCCAGCAGAAGGCTGGAGAGGCATATAAGTAGTCTGAGCTTTAAAACAGCAGTGTCTTCCTGTTGAAGGGATTACACCTGGCTGTGTGGGGGTGGCTACCCCAATGCCAAGGATCATCAAGTTCCCAGCTGTGGCATAGCTGAGAGGACTATTCTTAAATTTTCCTGCAGCTAAGGATCTGGTCTGGAGAGCTGACTAAAGAGTGCCCTGTGGAGGTTGGAAAGGGTCTAACTGTCCTGTGACATTGTGAGCATTAACTCCTCCCTCGAAAGAGTGTCCAGTGGATACTGGAAGGAATGCCTACGGCTATGCTGTGACATTGTGAGCATGGACCTAAGCCCTAATGATTGTGTGCTGGTGTCTTTTGGGTGACAGTTCCAGTGGTGACTCTGGCTGAGACAGCCCTTGCAAGGTCTCACTTCTGTCTATCTTACTTTGCTCCTAGCGTAAAGACTGTTCAAAAACTTAGCAAAGTGTAGTGTCATGTCACTATCCCATACCACTCTATATCCTTAAGTTCAGCAATAAATACGAAAAAAAACCCATCCTCTAGACTGTTTATGGAGCAGGAGTGTATGGACTGTTAATATGTGCCTGGCTGCCTTTGCAGTGTTGTGGGAAAGAAAATACCTTAAACTACAGTGGCTCCTTTGGGGGTAGAGTTACATTAGCCTACATTGGAAAAACTCTATTATAAAGGTCTAGGTGGTAGGATCAATTTCATCCTGGGGATTCTTTGGTTTTCTCTAATAAAGAGTGCCACATAGGTATAATATTCTGCAATGAAATACACCCTCCACTGAAATTATAGGTGTTAGGACCCACTAATTTGATCCTGGGATGCTTTGGTTTCTTTTCAAAAATATATTATTAGGTTTTTGTCTTTACCTAAATACACCCTTGTATGCATCTGTATTTCTCTGTGAAGGAGTTAGCCAAATTGGATTGCAGAACTTGACCTGATATGAAGATTTCCTGTTTTTAGTGCACTGCATGAATAAATCATATCATTCTATGCTTTATAAAGAAATAAAATAAATAATTAGATACAAATAATCAAATAGCTAATAAAGGAACTACTCTTGAAACCAAATCAAAATCTAATTTGATAATTTCAGTTCTAAATTCTTTAAATATTATATAAAAACAGAAAACATATTCTGCATTTGAACAATGAATTTTCAAACTCTTCAACTGTCATTGATTAATGCACCTGCGGAATGCATGCAGGCTAATAGCGAACAAAAGGGAAAATAAAATACCTGGATCATTAAGCCAGTGCTGCAATAAATCATCAATGAATAAATGATCTTACCATACAGTTATAAAGTCGTAAATCGGTTCAGTTTGAAGGACTGTGAAGTTGATGTATATTCCATTTCCGGGAGGGACTCTGACCAGCCATAGGCAGTCTTGGAAGTTTGGGTACTCATCAGGATATCCAGGGGAGTAAATAGTGCCATTCATTGCTGTTATATTTCCTCCGCAGAGAGCTGCAACATAGTTCAACAAATACGGATGGTAAGAGGACCTGCTGTAAATACTTAAGTCTGTGGGATTGCATAAAAGACAAGCTGAAGAGCCTGTCAAGTGTAGATACTCGAAACTTCAAGGCTGCTAAGCTGCAGGCAAAAACAAGCACTAGAGCTATGGATTTTTGTTTCTCTGTGTGTTTTATACATGGAAAAAAATGTTGGAACCTAAATGCTGTGGCTTATGCAGGAAAAAAGTAATATGATATGCAGAGGACTCAAAACACAGGTGAACTAGATTCTAGTTTGGCTAAGCTTAAAGACTACATAAGAAGTATGAAAATAGTTGCTTATCACACAAACATTTATCAATTTGCACAAAGTATATTTTGTGTGTTTTTTTTTTTTTCATTAAAGCCAAAGTGAAATATACCAATGGAATATCCAAGAGCATCCAATTAAGAATGTATGTCCTATTAGTCTAAATACAGTAAGATAATATTTGGTTGGTTGTCACGAATACACACAACTCCTTGTACCACTCTTTAAAATAGACCTCTCCATGTACTGGATTAGTTTACAGTTTTTTTGCTACCATTTTCTAGGCTAAACAACAGAAGCCACGGAGAATGTTAAATACTTTTTCTCTAGGAATGTTAAGTTCTTTCAAATGTGCATTATTGCAAATATAAATTGGCTCTCATTTTGTGTCAAAAGTATATTCTAGTGAATGACATTTGATTAGCAAATACTTAACGCCCACCCACATTGATAGAGTGTGCTGCTTGCCAAAAGCATTGTTAATATTGTCAGCTAGGATTTGTGGCTTTGGTTAGTCAATGGCAAGGACATGTTCTGATAGATAAGCAACAGCTTACCTGCTGAGAAGCATATGTATTAAGCATACAATAATATCTTTAGCCTTGGACATACAATGGTAAGGAAACATATTCAAAGCCAGAACTTTATTAAAGTATATTTAAAAACATTTTGCATGGAATGCTTAAATACCTGTCTGGATTTTTACCATTTGTTCCATAGAGGGATTCCCCTTCACTTTCTGTTCCAGGAACACAATAGGAAGTGAAAGGAAGAGTATGGTGAATCCCCATTTATACAGTTGCCACGAGAACAGACATCCCTGATGGAAGATTACCCCTCTAGTCATGTTCCTGCAACAACTTAAAATGTAATATTTTGTCTTTCAGTCCCATTGTCTGAAACCAGTGAACCAGAACAAACTGATTAGTGAGCCCCTCCAGCAGAAACACAGACAGATATCAGTAAAACAATTATAGTGTTTTTAAACCTTTACCACTCCATTCAAAGCTAAAAAAAAAGAAAATTTATCCTGAGATATACCTTAACGACCTCTATAAACTTAAGCCAAATTGTCATTTACAATATAAATTTCCATTCCAGTTACAGGTATACTATAAGCACCTAAACAATTTACAGTTGTCTGTCCTTGTCATGGGTCTGTGATGGGCATTTGACTAATGAGACAATCAACATAAGGGGATACACCATAAACAACAATATAAACATCGGCAATGTACTAATCTCAAACAAAACTGTGACCAAACAGGCAGGGGGGGAATTTCACTAAACTCAACTAGACCAAAATTTAAACCTAAATATCTTTAAAATGACCCAGCCTGCCTCCTATGCCACTGAACACCACTCTGAGAAATCTTCTCCCACAGTCTACAAGGAAAGCATGCTCAGCTGAAAATTACCTGGGAGACTGGAAACCAGTGCTCTGGCTCAAATGCCTTTGAAATGCATCAATATTCCTCTAATACAATGAAGCCAGCTACACAGTAACATCCATTAGAACAATTCATTATTGGCTACATAGCAGGATACAGTACTGAGTAAGGCTTTGACCAAAACTTGTTAGCTTGTTACTGCTGTATCCTACTATGTAGCCAATGAAGAATTGTTCTGATGGATGTTACCAAGTAGCTGGCTGCATTGTATCAGAGGATTATCCCTCCCACAGTCCCTTGTAACTTTCACTGGTTTCTCCTTTTAATCTCCAAGTCACTACAGTTTTAACTTATTTTCTTTCTCAAAATAAATAGATAGGAACATTATCTTTTGGGTGTGCAGAATACAACTGATAGTATATATGGCTGCCCATGTTGTTAAGAACAAAATGACTGATGGAAGTACCTACCATCACAACGAGGTATTGGATGGTTCCAGTTTCGGCTAATTCCATGCAGACAGGTGAGCGCAGATTCTCCAATTAGTGAGTAACCAGGATAACACTCAAAGGAAATGGTGTGTCCCACTGTAAAATCACTTCCAATTACAAACCCATTGCGAAATGGACGGGGTCGGGGCAGCTCTGTAACTGGTATGCTAGAGGTAATAGAATGAATCATATAATGAAAAACAAGTATATATAAAGTTTTTGCAATTAAATGACAATTTGACAAAGCATTCCCTTAACTGATCAAGGTTAGATTTCCATTGACTCCTCTAGGGTTCTATGTCAGGTCTATGTCATATCTTGCATACTTGTTTAAGGCAAACTACAGACCAACAGGTCATAAACATATTACATTTTTCAATAATGAAAATTAGCAAAGCACAGAAGTGGAAAGATTTTACACTCTCCATGGCTTTGCTTATCCTGCTACACCATTAGGCAATTTCAAAGATACTTGATCTATAGCTAGCAACATATATAACTTTAGCTGGCTCTACATATTACAATGTAATATTATAGTTCCTGTATGACCTTATTTAGATTTGCCAACAAATATACAGTACAGGGGCCTAAGCCATCCATTTAAGTTATATCCATTCAACTAAGAATTCATACTATATAATGGTTAGTACAATAAATCTAAAGGAAAGTGTGCAATATAATGTTCTCACTCATATATAGTATATTAGTAAGCATCATTGGAAAAGCCATTAATATAAAGCAGCTTGATGCTTTATATTAATGGCCTCCTTTTCTACAGTGCAAGTAGTTTGGTTAAAATAACCTGTTTAAATCTTTCAAATTATTATAGTGAATATTTTTTGAATGCATAAAATGAACTTCTTCTTTTCAGCACAATTAAACTTTTTATGTTGATTTCTTGATATATTAGCAAGCTGTCCTTGCAAAAAGAGCTCTCTGAAAAAGGCCGAAAGTTAGCAATTTCTTCCAATTATAGTATTAAATTGTTTTGTCAAGAATTAATGATTTCATTCTGCCAAATAAATTACTTTGTGCAAATACTGAAGCATGTTTCTTTCATGTTAGCTCATTCACTGTCCCCTAATCCCAGACCATCTCTTGGAGAACATTAGATATGCCATTGCTTAAAATGACTTATCATTTTTACAGTAGACATATCATATTTAAAACTTAGCAAGTATTGTCAATTACATTAAATCAATTGTGTACATTGCTCTTTTATTCAGTTTAAATATGTTAAATATATTTCAGTGCCATCAAAACAAAAGATATTTCCAGTTTTACAGTTTTTCTTTCAGAAAGCAACCCCAGCCCAAATGGAAAAATCTGCGTCCTGGCAGCATGCTGTAGAGAAGAGCTTTTTGAACTCTTTGAAGAGTGACATAAAAGAGTCACAGCAGAAAATGAGCAAGTGGTCCTTTGGGCCTGCTTGTTTATTTATTTTTATATATATATATATATATAGATATAGATAGATAGATAGATAGATAGATAGATAGATAGATAGATAGATAGATACACAACATACAGTATATATAGACAGTATACAGTGTATATATATCCACTGACTGTTCATTAACTCACTACCACAGCTGAAAGTCTATTCCAAGCATCAACTACTGTTGATAAATAGTACTTTCTAAAATTAGTTTTGAACTTTCCTTCTTCTAGTTTGAGGCCATTTCCCCATATTCTTGATGTCTGCATCATATTGGAAAAACTGCCCTCCTGAACCTTATTCACACCCTTAGGCCTTGTTCATACTGGTGCACTCTTGCTGTGCAAAATGCACTTTGCCAGTGTGACAAAAGTGCATGAAAACTATTCCACTTAAACTACTCTATAACTGTTCACCTTACTGAATCTTTAATGTAGTTTTTCAAAAGTGCCCCAAAAAATGCACCTTCCATTGTAAGTCAATGGGAATGCATCAAAAACGTCACATGTCCATGTTTCAAAGGTGCATGCTGGGAGTCAGGAAACAAGAAAGTATATATATATAGCTTTTCTTTATGATGTGATCTTTCTTTAATAAAAATAGCCTTTTGGACAATATTGGTGAGCTGTTGTGTGCTGGCAAATATGAACGAGTAAACAAGAAAGAGCAAAAAAACCAAGTTTTTTGAAAAATGCATACCACATTTTTAAGCGCACCAATGTGAACTGCCCTTAATTTATTTAAACATTTCAAAGGTGAGCTCTTCCTTCAGCAGAGAGAATGTGTTTTGCTGATTGCAGAACTCTAGGGCCTCAGCTGAGTGCTTCCAGGTTCATAACATGTTTGGAAGTCTCCTGGTGTCTTGGGGGTGCGCAGGGGACAGATAAGCCCAGACACATGGCAGAGGAAGGGAGTGGACACCACCTTTCCTATAGTGTAGAATTGGTAACTTCTACTATTAAAGCAGCCAGGAGCAAAAAAAATCTTGGCTTCAAGTACTGACACTGCCATAACTTAATTTATTTTGCCAAAAGCAAAATGTGAATGATGACCTTAAAGTGGTTCAACACCCCCCCCCCCCAAAAAAAAAAATACACACACACAATACTTACCTGAGCCTGATCTCAATCCTGGCTCTTTCCCTCCACACTGGCTCAAACACAGCAGCAAGAGCCATTGGCTCCCTCTGCTGTCAGTGGGGGGTGGGACCAAGCCTCACTCTGTGTGCCCTATGTACACACAAAGTGCAGCTCAGGAGAGAGCAGAGTAAGGGCAAGCGGCATGCTATGGGGGGCACTTGGCAGGAGTAGGAGCCAGGAACACCAGTGGGGGATCCAAGAAGGGCTACAATTTGCAAAAAATCATTGCACAGATCAGGTATGACATGGTTGCTATTATTGTTAATATTTTTATTTTTTTGTACCTTTACAATCACTTTTAACATAAGCATATGTTAAAATGGACTGACTGAACTCCATTAAACCATTAACAATAAAACACTGTTGCTTTGATTTATCTCTGCTGCAAGACTCATAAGTAGCTTTATACCTGTTTCAGATTTGCAAGCAATGCTAATGAATAGGTTAGAAAATGTTTGATAAGCATTGTACACTTTTATTTTTAACTCTTTGAATGAGATGAGGAAGGGGAGAAGGAACAGAAGATGAAAAAAAAAAAGAATAAAAGAGGAAAAAGAAGATAAAAGGGGAAATGATAGGGAGATACCTTCTGTTATCCTGACTGCCCAGAACCATTGGTATAGAATGAGGATTGCAAGAGAGTTGCAAAGTTTTAATTGCCAATTGGAAGTACCAGAAAAATTGTCATTATATTTTTGAGTATTCATGTATTTTACCCAATAAAGTCATATTTTAAGCATCTTTTTTGGGGAGATTTACTAAAACTGAAGCACTGAGAATCTGGTGTAGCTGTGCATGGCAGCCAATCAGCTTATACCTGCATCTTGTTCAATTAAGCTTTGACAATAAAACCTGGAAGCTGGTTGGTTTTCTATGCAGAGCTGCACCAAATTTTGCACCATATAGTTTTACTAAAAAATCCCCTTTGTATGTTGTTGTTTTTACTATTATTTTTATTTAAAATAAAATGGCATTCACAAATAAGGCAAAAAAAATATTTTATTTTCACGGAAGTCAGTGTTGTTTACCCTTACAAGCATGTGGCTAACTGCCGATCTGCGAAGGCCTTTTTTCTGTGTTTTATTCAAACAGAGTGACTGTGAGCCTAAGCGGCATTCTCCAACTCTCTGTAGTATGTTTGGAGAAGTGTCAAGCTGTCGAAAACAATGTACATCTTCATGTTGCAGCAGAACATCTTCACTAGCATGCCCGTAATATATGTGCAAATGTTCAAGAGTAAGTTTCCTACGACAGAACATATTTATGACTTAACGCTTTTCACAGCTCGGTGCTGTTTTCACAGATACAGAAAAATACTTGTCACCACAGATACTGGAAGATCATATGCCTAGTGTCCTATATAGATCAAGATGACCTGACATATGGAGCACAAAATGTGACATTTATGTTTTAGCTGTAGATAAATGTACATGATAATGTCAACATTCTATGCAATGAAAATATTTTAGTCTGCGTAACTGAAGGAATAATGCTTATTCAGGGCCGTTATAACATATGGTCACCACATTTGCCTAATGTACTTCCTAAACAGAGCAAGATCATCTGCAAAGCAACCAGGAACCTAAGGCCTGGTGGATGCCCAGAAAGCCCAGCTACAACCTTCACACACTTGCAGTAATCTGGGTGGGGCAGCACAAAAGTTGTGCCCCTGCCTGACACTTCACAAAAAATGATACTTGTAGGTAGCTGCTGTCCAATGGGGCTGTCCCAGGTCAAACATTGCAAATGAGGTGGCTTCTCTGTACCTCTTGCAATCTTTGAAAATGTCAATTGGAGGAATAAGGGGATCTAAGTTGTTACTTTTCCTAGGCTTCCGCTCTTCCTTAAGGAAGAAATATGACCAAAGCTATATTGAGGATCACAGGAGCACAGTTCGTTCTGCACTCCCGTGACCCATTATCAGCTGAAAGTGGGCTAATGCCAGTCAAGGTCCTGAAAGATCCTCATTTTAATGTCAAGATCAACCCAGATGCCTGAACAGGCAGCTGTCTCAGCCTCTCAGTGAGCTACTGAGAGCCTTAACCAGACGCTTCCACCCCATCCACAGCTCAACACTCCAGTAGGACAGAGGAGAGAGCCTGTGACTGACATCCACTGGCTCTCTGTTAACTGAAGACCGGGAACTGAGTGATCAGTACTTGGTCTTAAATCTGGGATTGGTGCTGCAGCAATCTAGGTGAATATGATTGTTTTTTTTTTATTCTTGAATTCTCTTTTAATCCATCTCTATTCCTAAATGTAAATATTGGGAAGGTGACAGCACCATAGCCTCTGAAGAAACCCTTTCGTAAACTAGGTCTAGATACATACAAATTTGGTATAAGCATGGTTATATTTTCACTGGGGTTATATTTTTAATTGAGGTTTTTTATGGTTTTGAAAAGAGTAAGGAGTAGTAAAAGTGTATCTAACACCAAGAACAAAAATGTTATGAGGGAGGTTGTAGACCAATTT